TGATACAGGATCCAGTGACGTGCAGTGCGATCAGGAGGTACCCCAGCAGTTCAACCTGATTTTGCCTAAACTGACACGAAGCAGTTGCCCGTTGGGCACAGTACTGATGCGACGCTGAAAATGGTGGCGAAGAGGCAGATGCCTCGACAGACACTGTGGAAACAAAGGATCGGTCCTGCCATGGACCACTGCCTTCCCAGGCCAATTTATTTTCTGCTTTGTTGCCTCAGTGGCTACAGCTCTCCAGCTCTTTGTGAGCAGTCGCCAATGACGCTTTTGACGTTTTTCTACACTATCTTCATATGATATTGGTACCACTTGTGTTTCCTCTAAGTCTGATTACTCACAAGGCAGCGCATTTCTGGCAAGCTTTGGCGATATCTACTTATCTCTAAAGCATCTATTACACCTACTCTCTACATATCTCGATTATCTTGTGACAGTATAATTTGTTTTATGCTTAGATAAGAGTTGCTTAACATGTTTACATTTTGTTTTAGAAAAAAGGGCCTGCATTTTTCTGAGTTTAGTGCCATATGCATTCCTACAATGTCAAGTACACATTTGCTATGACTCATTTTTCTCATTTCTGTATTGTATCTACTATGCCTTAAAGGAACACTATAGTCACCTAAACAACTTTAGCTTAATTAAGCATTTTTAGTGTATAGATCAGTGATGGCGAACCGGTGGCAGCCGGGCCCTTTCTGTGGGCACGCACAAACACATACACTACACCCGTCAATGCAGTCTGTGTGTGTATTCAGCGGACTGTGTGTGTGTGCATTCGGCAGTCTGTGTGTGTGTGCATTCGGCAGTCTGTGTGTGTGTGCATTCGGCAGGTGGTGTGTGTGTGCATTCAGCAGGTGGTGTGTGTATGTATTGCATTTGTTGGAGATACTAATAAATATAAGCTTAATTTTATCTATTTATATCATTATTTAAAAATTTTATCATTTAACTCACTGTTGTGTTCTTTTAAAACAAAAGTTGTTAATTAGTTCGGACAACAGTACGAGTTGTTTTTGTTCTAAATTTAAACCTCTGTATTGAGGTTTAATTGCTGTGTTGGCACTTTAAGAAAAAAAAGTTGGCATGTATTGCGGTTTGAGCAATATACTCGGGCTCAAAAAGGTTCGCCATCACTGGTATAGATAATGTTTCTCAGGTTTCACCGCTCAATTCACTACAATTTAGGAGTTAAATCACTTTGTTTCTGTTTATGCAGGCTCTGATTGACACAGCCTGCATGAATTGTATCTCTTTCTCTGTAAATTGAACTTTAATCACATACAGGAGGCTCTTGCAGGGTTTTGCAAGCTATTAACATAGCAGGGGATAAGCAAATATAAATTAAACAGAACTTGCAATAGAGGAAGGATACACTTCAGATGACTCTATACAGGAAGTATTTAGGAAGGCTGTGCAAGTCACATGCAGGGAGGTGTAACTAGGGTTCATAAACAAAGGGATTTAACTCCTAAATGGCAGAGGATTGAGCAGTGAGGCTGCAGGGGCATGTTCTATACACCAAAACTGCTTCATTAAGATAAAGTTGTTCAGGAGACTATAGTGTCCCTTTAAATAAGAAACAGTTTAGCA